GGAAAGAATACCGAGCACCCTCTCGTCACCAGCGCAACTCTAAACTTTCCAGGAGTCTGGTGCAAACAGAGCGCACAGGACCTGCTGTCGCTCGGGCTCACGAAGCAAGACCTGAAGATAATGACCGTCCGGTGTTTGCAGGGAGGCATTCACTGCTTCAGGGTCCACCACGGGATGACGTCCGTCAAGTAAAAGGACTCTCTGGACACGGCCTGAGGCTGACAGGCGACAAACGGTAGACCAGGAGTTAGATGGGAACTCTGTGCCGGCCCTTCATTTCCCGGAACAACCCTTGAGTGGATGCGCTCCATTCGGGAACTTCCGGGATGGGTTGAAGCCGACACCCTGGCCTACAAGTCCTCCTGGGAAAGCTGGACGGCGGACTCAGGGGGCACCTTCGCCAGGTAGGCACACTTGGGGAGGTAAGCATCTGGCCTGGATGACCCTTTACGGGCTGTCGGTCAGAGGCACAAATAAGAGGTTCCTCTGCCTAACATCTCAGAGTGACTATCAGCTTGGGGGTATGGGCATCCACCCGACCCCACGGGCCAGCTAGCCAAATGCCTCGTCATCTAATTAGTGACGCGCATGAATGGATTAACGAGATTCCCACTGTCCCTATCTTGTTTTATTTTAACTCCTGTTTAAATATTGGCTACTTCCCAAGAATATGGAAAGAGGGGAAAATTATATTAATTAACAAAAATGACCGGGACAATAATCTACCGGGTTCTTATAGGCCTATTTGTCTCAATTCAGTTTTGGGAAAGGTATTAGAAAAATTAATTAATAATCGAATTTATTTCTTTCTCAATTCTAAAACTTTATTACACCATTTACAATTCGGTTTTACTCATAATAAATCTTCAACATTAGCATTGTATCAATTAACAACCCATTTGAAACAAATAAAAGAGCACGGAAAATCTGCTATAATGATTTCTTTAGACTTTACTAACGCATTTAATTGCCTTCGCTATCCATTAGTACTTAATTTCTTAAAAAAGCACGAATGCCCATCCAATTTGTTTAACATCATTCAATCTTTTTTCCAAGATAGAATCATTACATTTGTTACTCCAAATAAACAAAACATTAGTAAATTAACTAATATTGGCTGCCCACAAGGCTCCCCTCTGAGCCCACTAATGTGGAACATATTATTAACTAGCTTACTAGAGATAAGATTTCACTCGCATACTTACATTCAGGCTTTCGCCGATGATGTGGTCGTGGTGGTGGCGGGGAGTTCATGCCGAGAATTAGAAACAAGATCATCAGACACATTAAACATAATAGGTACTTGGGCTTCACAGAACTGTCTAAATTTTAATTATAAAAAATGTCAATACCTGTTAATTACGAAAGGCACCTATCTACAGAATAGACCTCCTATCGTATATTTTCAAACCCATAGATTACCCATAGTTTCCCAAATTAAAGTTCTAGGAATAATATATGATTCACACTTATCCTTCCTTCCCCATCTTCAATATATTAAACTCAAAGTCCACACACATAGCCAAAATATATCTCGTATATTCTCAACCAATTGGGGACTTTCTTCACAACAATTAAAATATATTTATATCCGCAGTATAGAAAGATATATCGTATATGGAGCGCCGGCATGGTGGACACCCACAAAGAATTCCCATCTGTTAAGAACTTTAAGTTCAATTCAACGAATTCCTTTACTAAAAATAGCGAAAGCATTCTGTACAGTTTCCAATATTAGTCTTCCGGTGTTATGTAATTGCATACCAATAGAGATAATATTAGATATAGAAAATTTTATGTTCCGATTATTCCAACTACATCATATCTCTAAATTTGAAAATGTTACAATTGAACCAAAAGATGTATCTTATCCTATAGATCCTTGGCTAACCCACCCAGCACTTAAATTTCAAATTAATTTCCAAAAATATAACAAAGAACTCTTATCTTCATTGAACAATACGTTGTCACTCTATACAGACGGCTCAGTCTATCTAGATCAAGTAGGAGCAGCTTATGTCATCTTAATACAGAATGGAGGAATATTAAAGGTAGGTAAATATAATTTGGCCTCTCATAATACTATCTTTGATGTGGAAGCTATAGCAATCCTTAAAGGACTAGAATACTCTCTTACAATTAACGAACATTACCATTTAATAGTCATAACAGATAGTTTATCAGTATTACAAGCATTAGCAAATGCTACAAACCGAAACTCATTAATTAACAACATTAAGAGCTTAATTCAAAAAATTATAGAAAAACGTGCTATTTCCTTCTACCACGTGAAGAGTCACTCTGGGGTCATAGGTAATGAATTAGCTGACCAGTTTGCTAATTCGGCACGTAGATATGGTGTTTTTCATCCTCTTCCCAGATCAAAACAAAATGTAAAACATAACATTATAAAATTGGCAAGAAAAAAATGGGACCAAATTTGGCAAGAAAGGGGGCAAACCTCAGAATTAATAAAATGGATTCCGTCCATAACTAATATCCCTTCTTGCTTCCCTCCTTCGTATCATTTAACTCAACTCCTAACTGCACACGGAAGATTCCCTTTTTATTTCCATCGATTTAATATTCAAGACCACACGATATGCCCTTGTGGAGAATCTTGTTTAAATATAGATCATTATCTGAAAGAATGTCAATTAACACAGCGATACAGAAAAGAATTAGACACTCAAAACCTAACAACAAATAAACGCTTAGCTATGTTAAATTCAATAACAAAAGTTAAATCTTTGACTAACCTTGTACAATATATTACATCATTAATTCCCTAAAAAAAAAAAAAAACCCGTAATAATAATTGGAGACTCGATGTTACCAATGATTTAACAACAAGGCAATGTGGCATGATTGTTTATTACGAGTAACGAGATAAGAAAAGAAGGAAGAAGAGAAGGAAAGGGGAAGAACAAGAATAGAAAATAATAAGAAGAAAAAGAAGGAGACTGGGAATGTTAAACATATTTTAACAACATCATGGTAAACAACAACAATGAAAAACCCAACTCAAAACAACAAAATGAAAACGCCACATTTTAAACAACTTACAACAACTAAATACAAAATGACAATGACATAACAGATTAGACAGCCTTACTTTACAACGTCTGAAGAAAGAGGAAGACCCACTAAAGATCAGGGGAGCTTAGGACTTGTCTTAAGCTCTGGGCTTCCATAACTTATCGAAAATGCTTTCAAATACCCACCTTGGAGAGGACCCATTTATTCGGATAGGGGGCTCTGGACTAGTTCCAGCCGCCCTGGCCTCTCCTACAGATGTTGCTTTTCTTACAAACTCACTATTGAGAGGACCCATTTCTTGGGATAGGGGGCTCTGGACTAGTTCCAGCTGCCCGGGCCTCTCATTTAGCTTTTACCTTTTCTTAAAATATTGGGAGGACCCATACTCACCCCAGGGGGCTCTGGACTAGTTTCAGACGCCCGGGCCTCACCATTAGCTTCTTCTTTCTCTTAAACATTGGGAGGACCCGTATTAATGATAGGGGGCTCTGGACCAGTTTCAGACGCCCGGGCCTCACCATTAGATTCCACCATCTACTACGGAGTGGAGAAAATTTCAGTTCTGCAATGTCGGTTGACATCGTATACCACATTCTTGAACCACCGATTCCATATGTAAGTGGTGTCGGAAAGAAAATGGACAAAGGACTCAAACATCTTTGACTCGAAGTGATTTATTGATCACAAGAAGACTACCCAATTGAAAATGAAACTTACACATACTTACAAAATGAACACAGAAACCTGAGAAAGGGACGAAGACAATCCTAACTTAAGAAACAAGACGAAGAGGAAAACGAGTAAATGGAAATGCTCGTAGCAATAAACCCTCATGCATGCATAGTGTAAAGAAAGAAGAAAAATATTAAACAAATCTATTAATACAGTCAATTCTCTTTTAATTTACTCACAACATCTATTCTCTATTAGACAGATAATCAGATAATCTAATTATTTGTTTACCTGTCCTAGGAAAAGTAGCATTTGACATAAACTATAAAAATATACACACCATTTAAATCGCTCTTCTTAACTCACTTCGAAAGGCACACCATTATGATCGAACCTCTAAATAATATCTTGCACACCGGCATACTCGTAATTCTTGAACTAAAAATAGTTTCCTCCCTCCAACACCCATCGAGTTGTACCTCAGGAAAATATCTTAATCTGAATTTCTTAACCTCATAAATAATCAAAAATCAGATCCCGAAACACTACAACAGAAATATCCCGGCCCTTTGGCTGGGTTTATATATAATATTTTTACTATATACCTATTAAAATTTCAAACAGAACAGACAAGGTGCAGTGTACCAAGGAAGGAAGAGAATAGAGAAGGGCAGGACTGGAGAGGAGAGAGCAAGGAAACAGGAACCTGCAATGAAAGAAGACCAGAAATTCCCATAATTGTTACAACCAAAAAGGGGAAAAAAAAAGTTAAGATCTATGTAAATAATGTACATAATGTAATTCTATGTAAATATATATTATATTTACTGCTTTAACCTTCTATCTAAATTTATAAACATAAAGTATATGTAAATATTTATAACGTCTAATTTCCATTTTCCATGTATCCTGATTACAGATAAATATACATACCTCGCTTCCTCGTCGTCAACTTCCCGTTCAGGAGACAGGCAACCCGGAGAACCCCTGAAGAAAAAAAAAAGAGAAGATAAAGTCAAAATCAAAACATACATTTTTGATAGAGAAAATAAATGCCCGCTGACTATTTCTTTGCCCGTTCCCTATCGAGGGTTTCGCTGTCTCCCCTGTTATTCTTTTTGATTGGCTTTTTCACCAAAAATATCTTTGACCGCTTTATGGTCCTATTCATTTATTTTTATTGGATTAAACCTGTTATACCGATTGGTGGTGCAGGTAGAGAGAACAATTGTTTTTATTTCTTTTCACTCTCACTTACAAAATGTCCCCAAAAAATGTCCCTATCTACTGACTTCTTCCCTAGGCGCCGAGGGGGCAAGACCTGCATCGAATGAGCTCCTCAAGCTAAGTATAATTTTTATATTTCCAGGCTAGCTGGAAGTATATTCTGTTAGGTATTAGTATCTAAAGGTATACCGATTAGTTTCCAGGTGTTTTTGTTTTTCTAAAGTTAATTTTCTTTGATTTCTGAGCATTTTTGTGTGAGCTAGGCCTAGCGGGAAAAAATCAAGATGGTTGCCACTTGATTTTGCGTCCAAACTCAGAGTTTGAGCGCTCGCCCGTACGTATAAATCTAACGCCCGTGTTCCTCGCGTTTGCGCGAACACGAGCGTGTGTTTGTTTCTTTTGTAGAGCCAAAACTTTTATTTTTACTGCTACTTTGAGTTTCGAAGTGGTGCGGTGCTAGGCCAGGGGGCAAACAAAGGAAGCCTGAACTACGCAGGCTAACTTCTTTTTATTTCTTTTCGGGGGGTTTTCCGCTTAGCTGGACGGGTAAGCTAGGTCCCTTGTGTAACTAAAAGCCTAGCACCACCCTTTCCAGGTGGTGCAGTCTGTGTATTTCAGTTTTTTGCTGATTTATAGGCTTTTTGTTCAAGCGCACTTTTCCCGCCTTTTTTCTTCCGACCGAAAACGCTATGTAGTATTTTTTTTTCTTTCTTAACACTAATGGCGGTGCAGGGCTAAGGTCGGCACTCGTTGCTGTAGCGCGGTCGCGAGAATACGTTTGTTTGGCCTTTTTTTTCCCATTTTAGGCCATTTTCTATTATTTTTAGGGGTGTCCCTTTGTGATTTTGTCCGCGCCATTTTTGGCACAAAAGACTCTCTTCTTTCGTCGCGAAGAGTAGCTGGGGATTTTGGTACTGCGATTCGGCTGGGCTTCGGGTTTGGTTTTTATTTTTGCGTTTGGGCGTTTCTTTTGCAAGCCTGTCCGTCATCTGAGACGCTCAGATGCCGGGCAGCACTACTGGCGATGCCTCCCCCCCGGGGGAGGAGGTAACTGAGAAGGGCAACGGGGATTCGCCTCCGACCCAAGAGACGCTCGCCGCGCAGGCAAAAAACATGAAATTTAAACTTAACCCGAACTCCGCAACTCTGGTAGACATGTACCATGACATAAGTGAGGCAATCCCAGCGGTGGGCACTAAAACCAGTAAGACTCACGTGGCCAACCTGCACGCTGCATACGACCGTCTGTTTGGTTTTGCCCTAGACCTAATCAACCAGAACACAACACTTGCGGCAAAGATGGAAGCGTACAAGGAAGAGAGGGAGAGGGCCCCAGCCCCCGCAGCCCCGTCCCCCACGCCGGAGAGTGTTGCCGCCCTGCAGCGCACCTTCTCGCAGGTTCTCCAGCAGAACCCGGCGACTTCGAGCCCGAGCCCCGCCGGCCAGCAGCAGGGGGGGGGCATCACCCGAGGCCCCCAAGCCAACAACACCACCCTCAGCCCCCAGGGAGAGCCTTTTGATCTACCCTGCAACCAAGCCAGCAGCTGGGGTGGAGCCCTACGCAGGGATCTCCCACCTGCTGCGTACTACCTTCCAGCCCGCGGACCTCGGACTCGGCTGCGTCGAGATCAAGCAAGTGCGAGGTGGGGCTATTGTGCTCGGTCACAGCGCGGCCGGACTAGACCGCCTCGCGGAGGCCCTTAAGGCCAACGCGGAAACCGCGTTGAAGCTTACAACTAGGCGCTCAGAAAAAAGGGCCCCACAGGTCAAGATTGTGGGGGTTGACCCAGGGGTGGAAGCTGCGGACCTAGTTGAGACCCTAACCTCAATGAACGACCTCCCAACCGAAGACCAGAACAAGGTCGTGGCCTCATTTCGGGCAGCATCGGGCACCATGGTCCATATTCTGGAGGTTGGGCCCCAGACGAGGGACATCCTCCTCCAAAAGAGGAGGGTGTATCTCGGATGGACGTCCTGCCCCGTTTATGAGAACCTTGGCGTCCGGCGCTGCACGAAGTGTTGCACTTATGGCCACACAGCTAAAGTGTGCAAAGACCAGTCCTCGGCCTGCACTGAGTGTTCCGGCGACCACCCCGGGGCCAACTGCAGGGCAATTGAGAAGCGGTGCCGTGCATGCGTTCGGAGCAACGAGAAGTTCAAGACGAGATTTCACGTCGAACACTCGTTTGGTTCGAGGGCATGCAGGGCCCTGCTTGAGAAGGAGCAGCAGGCTCGACGATATTTAGCCTACTAAAAGCCCTTTACCAAGCATTCATAGGTACATAGCTCTAATTCAATAGTTATCTTTTCCCGCTTTTGAGCTGAACATACATTAACTTAAAACACTAACTATGACCAGCTCGGATAGCAGACTAGATATCCTGCAGTTTAACGCAAATCACTGTATAAGCTATAGACCAACTTAAGATAGATACTATGGAAATTAAACAACGCATCACCTGCATTCAGGAACCTTATTATCTTAAAAACAAGGTTGTGGGATTCAGCATTAAAGATAATGTCATAGCATTCGAAACGAAACCCAGAGTCGCAATGGTAATTCACGATAACTTTTGCGATGCATTTCCTATTACCGTAGCCAGAGATCTGCTAGTGGTCCGCTGTAACACAGAAAACCAAACGTTTGTGCTAGCAAACGTTTATATACCACCTGATGACGACATAACACCTTGGCTGCAAATAATCACCGAAGTTGTAGAACAGCACAAATCAGAAAAACTTATATTATTAGGAGACTTTAACGCAAAAAACCCCAGCTGGGGGGGACAGAGATTAGACCAGAGAGGAGAGGAATTAGCAGACCTTTTTATAAGCTTAGAATTAGTGTGGATCAATGACAGAAACTCGTCCCCAACTTTCGCCTCACCAAACGGCGAAAGTTGGATTGATCTAACTATTGTAAATGGACACACATTAGGACACATTTCGGATTGGGACGTTTTGGACACTCCTTCAGGCAGCGACCACAACTACATCAAAATTACAGCTTTTGGAAACAGGTGCCCAGTCAAAAGACTAACAAAAACAGGCGAGATAAAGGTTATAGACAAATTAATAAAAGACCGCTGGCTTAGGGACATGTCAAGCAGACCTCTCGTTTCCAAAAATCATTTAGAGCATGTAATTAGAACATTTTATGACAAAATTGAAGAACTTACGGAAATATATTCCAAGGTAGTTACCTATCGAGCAAATGAAGTTAAATGGTGGACCCCACAACTTTCTATCGAACGTAAAAAAATTCGGGCGCTTCGGCGCATATATCAAAATTGCAAAAATAACAATAGAGATCACTTTAAGAAATCCTATTATGAAGCGCACAAAGATTATAAAAGCAACATAAAGGATGCAAAGCAGAGCTCTTTTAAAGAGTTCTGCGGTGTCATCCACGGCAATAATGTTTTTATCCTCCCATATAAGATAGCACTTAACAAACTTAAACGCCCGGTAGTACTTTGTCCTCTCTTGTTACCAGATGGAGTTCGGACGAAAAGTCTGGCAGAGACAGTACGTTTTATCCTAACAACGCTATTCGAGGAAGATGACCCAAACAGCGACTCGGCACATGAGACCAACGTGCGTCTCATGTCACTCGAAGATATCAATACAATCAATGACATACCATTCACTTCAGCAGAGGTAGATGCTGTTCTGGCTAAATTGAAATTAACAACTGCACCAGGAATTGATAATATCAAAACCTTTTTTCTGAGAACAATCTACAACAACTTTAAAGAACTCTTTCTTAAAATTTTCAACGCGTGTCTGGAATTTGGTTATTTCCCCGCTGAATAGAAAGAAGGAAAAATAATACTACTCAAAAAGACAGATAGGGTTGACAGTCCCTCCGGATATAGACCAATCTGTCTGAACTCCATCTTTGGTAAAGTATTAGAAAAATTAATTAACAATAGGCTGTACCATTTCTTACACTCTAAAAAACTACTTCATGAAAACCAATTTGGCTTTACCCACAGAAAGTCTGCAGTAAGCGCGTTATACAAAATTAAAACTAAGCTGGAGGACGTCAAGAGGGAGGGGAAGGGGGCAATCTTGGTGTCTCTGGACATCAAGGGAGCCTTCAACTCGCTCTGGGCCCCAGTAGTAATTAACAAACTAAGAGAAAACAACTGCCCCAGAAATCTCTTCAATTTGGTTCGAGACTTTTTGACAAACCGCAAAATGTCCTACTTAACAAAAAGCGAAAAAATTACTATCGGCTCAGTAAAGGGGTGTCCGCAAGGTTCACCCCTCAGTCCACTTCTTTTCAATGTTGTTATTGCGGATCTTCTTCAACAAAGATTCGAAAACAATACGACGATTCAGGCATTTGCTGACGACGTAACCCTAATAGTGACGGGAAAATCACGGAAAGAACTGGAGGACAATGCAAACCGGGCGCTAAACCTCATTAAAGAATGGGGAGATGAAAAAAGGCTAAGCTTTAACCCGGCCAAGTGCGAAGTTCTTGATATTGGAGATCGGTATAAAAAACGAGTACCAACCATTAAATTGGGAGGTCGCAACCTCACTCATGTAAATTCATTAAAAATCCTCGGGGTCGTTTTCGACTCAAAACTGACATTCACGGCACATGCAGAATATCTAAAATCTAAAATAACTCAAAGCACCCAAGCCCTCGGCATGTTTTCCGGGGTCAACTGGGGCATCAAGGGGACACAATTCAGAGACATTTATATCAGAGGAATAGAACGAGCAATTACGTACGCCGCCCCCGTATGGTGGAAAAATACAAACAATTCGCACTTGGCCAGAAAGCTACAGTCAGTACAAAGAACGCCGCTTTTGAAAATAACTAAAGCATACCGCACCGTTAGCAATATCAACCTTAATATTCTCTCAAACATTATGCCAATAGCACTAACACTCGATAAAGAAGCCGCGTCATTTCACTTGTTTCAGAGAAACAGTGACCACACTATACTTGGGACGACCTGGGAAACGGAAAAAATCCAAAAACTGTTAGATCCCTGGGATACGCACCCAGCAGAAAAAACAGCTGTATCATTCTTTAAAAAAGCGCCTAGCACTGCTCAGCTTAACATCTTCACAGATGGATCTGTCTGTAACCAGACGGTAGGAGCAGCATTTATAATACTAGATGAATCGGAAAAATCAAATAAGAAAGCAATGTACAAATTAGAAAAGCACGCAACAATATATGATGCCGAAATGATTGCAATTCTGAAAAGTCTGGAATACATATCAACTTTTAAAAACAGTACAACCTTTAACCTATTCACGGATAGCTTATCCACACTGCAGGCCCTAGCTAACCCCCACAATAACCATCCAATAATTCAACTCATAAAAATACCATTAAAACAATTCGAACAATGCATAGTATAAATCTAATGGATGTGAAAGGCCACACTGGGGTGGAGGGAAACGAATTGGCAGATAAACTAGCAAATAAAGCGCGAACTCATGGAGAACCGGTAGCGTTACCCATGGGAAAAAACTATGTCAAAAAAGAAATCAAAATTCAACTCTTTAAAGAATGGGATCAGCGATGGAAAGAGGAGGGGCAAAACTCCGAATTGAGTACATGGATCCCTAGTATATACGATATACCAGACAATTTTCCAGCAAACTTTTACGTCTCACAGGTCGTCACCAATCATGGCAGGCTGCCTTATTACCTCTATAGAGTGAAACTGTCTCCCGACCAAAACTGCTTCTGCGGGAGGCAGTGCGTTAATTTCCTACACTATCTTAATGAATGCCCGTTACTAAAACCTCTCGCGGAACAAGTGTACAGTTTATTGCCCGGCAAAGTGACCACTGTCACGGATAAAGATAAAATCAACATTCTAAAAAACCAAAAAATTCTTAAACTAATTGGAGAAATGTTAAATCTCATTGGGGCAAAATTAGGCACATTAGAACGAAGAGGGCTAACATAACAAAAAAGTGATTGCCTGTCGGAAAAAGCGGGCACAGTGCAATAATCGGTGAGCGTCCCCGCCCGCACCACAGGTGCAAAGTGCTCTGCACCTTCCGACACGCAACACGTGCCCAGGCACTTCCTGGCGCACAGGGAAGAGGGAAGGGATGGGAGGGATGGGGGAAGGGAACTCACAAACACACAGACACACTCACTTGCACAACAACAGGAAAGTGAAACCCGGGAATACTCCCCCATGCAGCGGTGCCCCCGCCCACGCTACCCTCCAAAACCCCGTACTGATGGGTAAGGTACGGGGAAGGGGTGAGGCAACGGTGAATAGCCCCTCACCATGGAGTGGAGGTACTCGAGCTCCAGCACATTGGCAACCCAATGCCAAGAGCAGGGCCATCTGGGGAGGTTCGCGGCCACCTTCAAACATTAACTGCTACAGACCAGGTAGTGTTGGGGGCCCTAGGGGTTCCCGCGCTCGGGGTGCGGGCTGGGCCCGCGGTTTGCCGCTGTCTTCTCCGGCCAGATGGGGCTGTCATTAAGACATGCAGTGCCCGCTGCGGCTCCTTGTCCACAAGGGGCGAGCAGCGGGCACCTCGGGGGCCGTGAGACAGCGGTGGGACGTGGGTCGGGTGCGCGCCGGGGGCGCGGGGATTTCTGTGGCCCTCTCTGGCACTCCCACATAACATAAAATACGATACCAAGTAGCATACACCACAACAGCAATGGCGACGTTGCGCGAGTACAGGCGTAAGCGGCGCCCCCGCAGATGGGCGTTCAGGTGGGCCCGCCCCTTCAGCAGATGGGTGGAGGGGAGGGGCCCACTGGACGCGGCTCAAAGCTCGGGAAGAGCAGGGCCGCTTGTCTCGGCCCGGGAACCATTTACATAAACTAGTATAATGGGGACACCTACAAATAACACGAATGTATACGCACAACCAAACATAAGACTGCCGCATACACTGCCCCCAAGGCCTCGGTCGATGATAGCGGTGCCCCCGCCGGACCCGCTCCACAGCCACAGCCCAGGCAGCCTGCTGGGGCGGAGAGGCCGGGAAACCGGCCTCTCTGATCTAGCAGGTGTGGGGGCCAGGGGGACAAAGCCCCGACCCTGTGCTCTGGAAGTTCCCTCCCCTTGTTGAGAGAGTGACGAGGGGGGGACGACCAGAGTTACGGCCGAGGGACAGGGCCATATGCCGGGACCATGGGGGCCTGCAGTCAAAAGACAAAGGGAGGACAGGGAAAGAGGGAGTAGGAACACAAAAAGGGGAGGGGAGGGGGAGACTAATGAAGGCCTTTCTTTTCAGCACCCTCGCGATCCCCACCCGAAGACAGACAGCAACCCCGATTCGACCATAAAATTGTTTATTCCTCAAGAAGCCTGTAATCAAGAACCAACTACCGCCGACCATCATCCAGCAAGCCGTCCAGATCCATAATTCGACCATAGAACTGTTAAAACATCAAGCATCATGTAAAAAGAACTTTCAACAACCATCGTCAACTAGCCCGAAACGCCACTCAAGAGAAGTCATCAGAGAAGAACTGGGGGGGAGGGAGATACATTTTAGTAATTGTTTAGTCCAGGAAGTAGCATGTAAAAGGGGGAGGGATTTTAGAAAAGGCTTTCATTAGTGTGTACATTGATATGTATATATTTTTCTTTATATCTTTCACATATTTCACTTAAATTTTACGTATTTTTATGTTTTTACCCTATATATGTATGTTTGCAATTTTTTCCCTTTTTTTTATACTTTTGCCTTATATATGGGTGTGTATGGTTTTGTGTGTATGTATGTATGTGTGTATGTACATGTCTATGTATATATACATATATATATACTTTTTTTTTATGCATTTTAGTCTAAGAACACTATTTCATTTTTACTAATTTTCTGTAAAGTGATAGCATGCTCACTATTTTACTCTTCATCATATTTAACCAATATATATAGGCTTTTTCATTCTGTACAGCGGGTGCATGCGCGCTTCTCTTCTAA